GAAAGAAATAGGTTTTTGTAATTGCCAGATGTTCCATTATGGGAGTATCACCAGATGGAATTGTTACTTGAGATTTTTGGGGGCAGTGGGATTGTCGAAATTAAATTCCCATCTTTGTGTTTTTAAAAACAAAAAGACAATAGATAACCCCTTATTGTTGTTATTTAAATACCTAAAGATTCACAACTACATACTCGAATAAAAAAAAAACTATCTTCAATAAGACCGATTTCCGATTGATGATATCTCGTTGAAAACACGTTAGTTCTATCATCAAACCCGGCCACCTATCCGTCCCCCGTTTAGGTTTTATCACCAAAAGTTAGCAAAAATGCAGCCACTGACTTATTCAACTTTCCCTTCTTTAAATTCACCCCAATGAAAAATGGTTTGATAAATGCCAGAACTTTCCTCTACTATCTTTAATGTGGCATTTCCAGGGTCTCACCGGAGTTGCCAGTTTTAAATTCGCGTCACTCGATAAACCTTTGTAAAAAAAAAAAAAAAAAAGTTTTAGGGTGTTGTAAATTTAGAGAATTATATACCACACCAAAAAACAATTTCAAATGAAAACGAAAACTAAAAACGTGTCAAATAAATAAAATTAGCGACAATATTATTAATGTAGTTAATATGAATTCCCGTTTTCCCTCATTTTTTAAAGCCATAATAACAATAGTCGGAATCACAGGAGCTTCGGGGGATTGTAAAAGTAGATTTTTTTTTTAATGTACAACTGCTTTTGTGATTATTTTGAATAAATGGATGTATTTAGGTCGCTGCTCGATCAGAGGTTATCCCATAAGCCCAGCCCTCTCTACCTTACCTGGTGTTCCGGGGGTCAACGCCCCCGCGGCCCGGTCCATGACCAGACCTTAATTACATTAGACAGCATAATTTAACCTTTTATCCAGTTCAGAAACTATAATTTTGTTTTAAGTTAACTTTGATACGTTAATCACTAATTTGATCTTGTTTATTCTCCATCGCGTAAGGTGTTTTTGAAATTTTATGATCAATGTTTTGGTTATTTATTGTTGAAGAAGCACGTGATAATACATAGGTGTTATGCATAGATGTTTACTGTGGTGCATGCAGTAACAAAATTTATGACATATACGCATAAAAATAAGCGACTTCCAATCATGCAAACATATTTACATCAATAATATCGCCTGTTTGCGAACTGTTAAGCATTACATCGCAGTTTTTTATTTTTTTCCTTGTGTTGAGTATGGCTCTCCCGCACCAGTGTCCAGCAGTAGTCCACCATGAAACTGGTCGTCTGGTTTCCCTGAGCGCTCTCTCCTCCGTTATGTCTTGGCGAAATCGTTTACTGTGGGTTCTGTTTCACAGGAACTGTACGTGTTGCAGCAAAACTTCAGATTTAAATCCAGCGTCCCAACAATTAGAAACAAATGATTTCAACCGTGAACTATAACCTTTGTTGGCCAGAGTTAACAGAGAAATGTATCCTTGTATAAGCACAGCCCCCTCTACCTTTGAAGGCTTTTCAGATTTACCCAACTCGTGCGGCCCGGCTGGGTCAGGCTTGTCTGATACTTGCTTGATAAATTAGGCTGTTACTGTCGGCGGTCCACTGGCCCCACATATACATAACAGCCTGGTTGATTTAGCACTTGGTGGAAGTACATGCCCAATTTCCTGTTGAGAACTTCTACACTTGTTCCGGCAATGCTTATATCTTGTGGTATTGTGTTAAACAGTCTGGGTCTAAAGATATTGATACAATGTTCTCTCATTGTCCAGGCGCGCCCTGTTTTTTCACTAGATTTTATTTTATACATTTTTCCATAGCTCTCACTCCAGTATGTTATGGCAGTGTGCAGATATGGAACAAGGCCCTTCAGCACGTTCCGTGTACATATTATCGTTGATCTCTCCTCCACTCCAGTGAATAATTTTTTTAAGACTTTGAGGCATTCCAGTAATTTAAATTATTTTATTGGCGCTATGCTGGCAGCAAATGATCTCAATATCTGTTCCAGCTTTGATATATCTCCTGCCCTGAAAGGAGCCGTCAACACTGAGCGAGATAAAATAAGTGATTTGAAAAGTCATTAATGACACTTATTTCTATTGTTTTAAAAGTTCTCATTATCCACCCTGTCATGTTTCTATCTTTCGTGGTATTTGCCTTAATGGCAAGTCAACAGCGCTATGGCATCTGTCACTGCTTATTTTTGTAGATTATTTTTTTTTCATTCTGAATCGTATATATTTTTAAATTAATGGGGTTATATGATGGCACGTTTGACAAGTGTTTAGTATTAGCCAAATACCTGACGCAACACAGTGTTCTTTGAAAGAGAGGTCATGTTCCTTTTGCATTTTGTATAGGATGTCTCTTGAGTTCTTCATTCTTCCCAAAACAAATATTTTGGAAAACAAAGTCGAAATTGAACGTCACTTTTATTCTCCACTCCCACTGGAAGACTTTAAAAATTCTTCCTTCAGTTTTTTTCGGTCCCTAACGAGGTAATTTTAATGATTATTCTGGTTTATTTGAAAATGATTTACGGATACAAAGTTAAATTTATTTTGTTAGGGGGTAAAGGGAATTTGCTTCCAACACAATTTGCAACAAACGGCGGAAAATTCCCTTTAAAATTACCCCCTTCAGGGGAATACTAAAAAAATTCCTAAGCCAATCATGGGTCCGAAAAAACACACTGGGCCATCTCATGTGTTTGAAAAAGAAATTCCAAAAAAGGGAAAAAAAGAAAAAACTTTTTTCGCAGTTGGCGCAAAACCCGAAGGGAAGAAAGCCTTTTGGCGGGAAACACTCCTTGTAAAAAATGGGTTGCTTTTAAGGGGCCGGAAATTTCCCTGTTCTGAAGGGAAAATTTAAAGTCTTACGTGCGGGCGTTAAAATTTAAGTCTCTTTTTAGAGGGGGGAGGGGGGGGGGCTTTCAAATTGTCGGGGAGCTTCCCTTTTGGGGGGAACCCCGGCCCCGAAAATTTTTTAATTTAAAACTTGAGGGCTTGTGCGCCCGTCCGGTAGAGGGGAAAGTGAAAGAATGGTTGGGTGGGTGATGCCCCGAAAGGGCCACGCCCACACGCACCGCAGAAAGCACACGCACACGCACACACACACACACACACAACACCACACACACACCACACACAAACAAAACACCACCCCACAAACACACACCCACAAAAACAAAACCCCGGGGTTTTTTGTTAACCTTGCTTAAAAAACACTCATTCCATACACGTACATTTCAGCCCCACAGACAGGGGTTTAGAAAGACTTCAAAAGCCCTTCAAAAAATTTCATTTTTGCTCTCGCAACGTTCCAGAACGCTACGATTTTTATTATTATAATCAAAACCAACCGTTTAAAAACCCCCAAACCCGGGGCCCAAAAACCGTCCAAAAAACGCTACGAAATGTGCAGAATTTATGAAAAGAACCGAGCAAATCAACCCAAAAAACGTTATTCAAATTAAATTTGTTTTTAAAATTTACCATTATTTTTATTTTTATTAAAATTTTTGTAATGCAGTAGCAGTAGTTTATTAAAAACAAAAAATAGAGTTTACACTCATTGAGAAAAATTTTTGTTAGTGGGCCAATTTTAGAACCATCTTTAAAAAAAAAAAAGTGCAAATCTTCCTGTGTTCTTTGTTTGCAAAAATTTTTCCCTTTTTTTTTATTACCCTTTTCCTGGTGCATTTTAATGGGTTTTCTTAACAAATTTAAAAAAACCTGCAAAGTATGTAAAAAAAAAAGTAAGGATTGTCTTTTAAATTTTACCCGGAAAAAATGCAGGGTAAAAAAACAAACTTTTTGCTTTGACTCCAAATTTTTGGGGGGGTAAGGGGGGGGGGTTGGGGCAGGGGGGGGGAGGAAGGGTGGTAGGGAGGGAAAACCCGTCTCTACCCTCAAAAAATCCCAAAAGGGGTTTTTTGGCTTTTATTCGCCCCAGATTAATCTATCCACAACAAACTTTTATCATAACAACAGTAAAACCCTTCAATGTTTGTTTAGTTCTTCCATAGTCCCTTTAATCCCTTTTTTAAACCACCCCCCCCCTCCCTGAGTGGGTTTTTAAATTGCCCCTCTTCAATTTTATTTTGCATTTTGTGAAAAGGACTTCAATTTTGATTTCATTTGGGGCCCTTTCCCTTTCTAAGGGCGTTTTTTTTACTTTTCCTAGCAAAATATTCTCTAGCTCTTTTCCCCTCAGTTCCCTTTTTCTTACAGTTCCCCACTTGTTTTTCCCTGCCCTTCAAATCTTCACAACTTTTTTAGTAGCATTCCTATTTTACCTTTTTGTCCCTCTCGTAAACAATTCACCCCGAAAACCCCCTCATCCCCTTTTAATTGGGCCTTTTCCCCTAGTCTGAATTTTTTTTCCCGTGGGTCTACCCCCCCCTTCTTTTCCAATCTTTTCCCTTCCAGGTAAAAGAACATTGTCACTGGCTTCTAGTGGTAACTTTATTCATCTTTTTATCACTTAAAAATGAGGACCAATCAATCCTTATTTGGGTTTGTCCCATCCCCCTTAAACCTTATGGGTTTTATCAAGTCGGGGTCAGGGAAATTTTTCCCATTACTTCCTCCACCCGACTTTTTCTCTCAACCCTTTCCCCATTTTCCCAAGTTTTCCCAATTTTTCTGGGATTTTTTTGTTTATTTTAATTAAAGTGGGCCAAAAACCCGATACTCTTTCCTTTTGTTGAAAACGTACTTTTTATTCTTCTAATTTTTTGGAGAAAATTTTTAAAAAAAATTTTTTAACTTTGACCTCTGGCTTCATAGTTTAAAAAGTCGTCCCCCTGTAGAATTTGTTTTCCTCCTCAAAACACTTCACTTTATTTTGGGCAAAATATTTTTCCACTTCCCCTTTCCCCCATCCCCACATTCTCTAAACCCTTTTAAAAATCGTGATAAAACCCATAGGGAAATTTTTCCATGGTTAAGGTCTTTTTTTTTACTTTGATGCCATTATTTTCCCCCGTGTGTTTACTCACCTGGGGTCACATGTCATGAGGTTACAGCGGTCACCTGTCCAGCCAGGGGTACAAAGGCATGCACCGCCCTCACACCTGCCGTGGAGTCCGCAGTCCAGGCCACACACGCCTGCAAGTAAGCATCAGTAGACTGCTCTTCAGTACAAGGAGACAGGTGTTACAAGCTCATTAGTACTTAATAAACATGTTACTCCTGTAATTAAAGTCGTTAAATACAGGAAGATAACACTTATTATTTTTGTTATTATTATTATGATTATTATTTTATTAATTTAATTTATCATCAAGCATTATTTTATATTTTCTTGTTTATTATTATTATTATTATTATTATTATTATTATTTCTTAGCTTTATCACTATTACTATTGTTAGGTAGTTGCTGAGAAAAAGGTAACATTAGTCTAGCTGGAGTTTATACAAGAAAAACATTCCTGAATTATATATAAAATGATTTTCTACACATTGGACGTGAATATCAAGGACCAGGTGAGGGTACGATGACCTTACGTCTCTACTGAGAGCCACCTGCTTATCACGAACGATAATAAGTACGAATTTATTGGGGGTAATAAGTGCCCGTTAACGTTAAGAGTTTTTTTTTGTGTGTGTGAATATGTTAATGGGTAAAGGGCCATCAAGGACAAAAATTTCCGTACGTCATAATCAAGAAGTAAGAGGTGCCGTACTTGGTTACCAAGAAGTGCGTGTAGATGCCTCGTACGTGATTATCAAAGGCACTGCGCCAACTACTTACGTTTACTGCACTCAGAGCCAGTCCACTCTGGCTCGCAGATGCACTGATGGCTCTCTAGGTCAAAGTGTCCGTGTCCGTTGCAATCTGGGAGGCACTGGAGGGCGGCATCGTCCGTGCTGCCACAGTCAGGCCCTCTCCAGCCTCGCTGACACACACACGTACCGGACACGCACCACCCGTGTCCTGAGCATGTAGGGTGGGGGCAGTCGTCTGTGGACACGCAAGGCAGGAAATGGTTCGTGAGGAGCCGCTAATGTCATCCATTTGTGTGTGTGTGTATGTATTTCTCTCTGCCTCTTAACACACTCGCTATGTCTTTTCTTCCATCTCCACATCTACGTACCCCTCTCTCCCTGTCTTTGTTTCCCTCTCCCCGCTAACACTAATACATACATACAATTAGGGAAAGGCACAGAAGGTCAGGAACAGAGCACAAGGTCGGGGGAAAAAGGACTACAAACCTCAGTCAAGGAGAAGGACCTAGAAATCAGAGGCAGGGCCAGGAGCTGAGACCCTACTTTTACAACTAAAAATAAGTGATTACAACTAGATGAATCTCAATCTCTCTCTCTCTCTCTCTCTCTCTCTCTCTCTCTCTCTCACACTCATAAACTCTTCTCTCTCTCCTCACACAACACACAACACACACACAACACACACACACAACATGGGGAGAACTGATAGGTGAATGGGGACAAATTGTTACTCTTTGAGAGACGGGAACTGGAACACGAAGGCACAACTGGGAAGTTAAAAGCCAAAGTTTATACATAGCTATACGAAGAGATAACGATAAGCCCTCGAAGCCAGGAAGAATTCAATGAGTAGCAAGCAGAGAAGAGGCGGGGGCTAGGAGCTGCAACCATATGCAGGCGAGTACACACGACACACACACACACACACACACACCACACACCACACAACCACACACACACACACACGCACACACACAAAACACACAAACACATACACACTCATAGGGCGCTCGCACAGATTAATGAAAACAACACATTGTACCACCAGTTAAACATATATCTCTAAAACACTATTAAAACAATGTACATTAATAACTAGATGTAAAAGCTGCATTAACTTTCATATTATCGAAATCACGTTAACTAAATTAAACTGAAACATTAAATTTAAACTTAGATTATGAGGATAACAGTCCGGCAAACCCCCAGCCCCTACCACTTTATCCTGGTCTTGTTTATTACATGATCTGCAGAGCGGGATTACGCCAGGGATGTGTTTTTTGTATTTCTTCCGTCAGTGTCTCTTAACGTGCTTGAAACTGGGAAGAGCTCTTGATCCAAGGATGGAAACTATCCTCCCTTTCCTGGGTTGAGATTAATTATTCCATTCCTCAGGCACTGTCTGATGCTTATGGGTAATAATTCCCCCATGAAGAGGGCAAACGCATCTAACCCATGGCCCACTGGTTGTGGTGATCTTGTTTTCTTTCTCTCTGCAACTTGTGAACGCACTTATGATGCTTCTGTGCTGCCTTCTGCTGCTGTATATGTCACTGTCTAAATCAGGACTTTGGTATACTGGATCCGCTTTTCTCATTGCCAGGTGCGTCGGAAGACTTCGGTGAAAACTATGAGGTTCCACTTTAACATATAAAATGTTGATAATTTTTTTGTTTTTAACTGACGTAGGGACTAAACCTCCTAGGGAGTACTACGGGTTTTAATTGTGAATTATTTAACCAATACTGTGTCTGTACAAATGGTTTTTCTTCAAGGTGTTAGTCATAGCTGGTGAGTAGTTAGCGTGCATGCTAGGATTTTACAGCCATGGGTGCACGAAATTGGTCTTTTGTGGCCCAGCTGATGCATGGAGTGGCCGCTGTGGGCCATTATACTGTACATGTTAGCCACTTCCTCCTGTGGACATAGTTAATCTACTACACCTACGAGACTGATCACTGTGACAGTTATCTACTACACCTACGAGACTGATCAAAAAAAGACTGGTGGGGGTGGGGGGGGGGGACAGTTATCTACTACACCTACGAGAATTAGAGTACCTAATACCATGTTAATGATTGGAAATAGTGGTAGCACTGCGTACTAAAACCATGTTCGTGACTGGCTTAGTGACCACTAGCATACCTAAGACCATGTTAGTTGATGACCTAGTTAACACTAGAGTAACTAAGGGACATGTTGTGACTAGTAGGCAGCACTAGCGTACCTAAGACCTGTTAGTGACGACCTTCCTCACAGAAGTTCTCCCTTGTAACCTTGGCACAGCGGCAGCGACCGTCAACAGTGACCGTGACCGTTTGCCAGTCGGGACCTCACACTCGTCATGGCGTGATGCTACACTCCGGCCCTTCAGCCTGGTCGGACACACGCACTCACCATCCCGGTACTCCCCGTTACCCGAACCACGATACGGGCACCATCACTGCAGAAAGAGAAATGTATACAGTAGTTTAGGTTATAGTATGCTGTTCCAAGATGCTATTATATATGATATTACTAGTGGTACATAGAGTCAGTGCTGGTAACTTGGTGTGATAGTGCTGGCAGTGCTAGGATATCACTGGTAAAGAGAGAGGCACAGAGTTAATGTTATAGTTTATTGCTCAGTCTGCCAGCAGCACTAAGACCATCACTGGGGGAAGAAAGACCATGGATTAAGTTGGATGATTTTTTCGTAATAGTATGGTGTTCTAGCCTAAAGGTATATGCCAAAAATCTAGAATAAGTAGGACTATTTTGGTAGTTTGATCTGTAAGATGCAAGATGGAGACTTCATTTGTAGAGTGTATCACCAATCTGTGGTTGCGGGGGTCGATTCACAGCTCTGGCCACGCCTCTGTTGTATGTGTGTGTTACTTCTTTCGTTCCGCCTGAGGATCGTTTGACCATGTTCGTGTTCCAGTATGACGTACATTCCAGTATGATGTACATAATACTCGTATTCTCCAGTTATTAGGGGGACTACATCTCTGGAGCAAGCAAAAAATTTGTATTGATGGATATATTTTTGATAAATTTCTCAAACCAAAAGTAGCCGAACATAAACTGGACGGAGGTAGAATGAACACACAAATTCTAGGCAAAAATTTACTGCTTGTTTGCCATACATGAATAAGTCGGACGGCAACAAAAAGGACCCCGGGGTTCGATTTTCAGAATGTGAGGACGTGTTGGTAAGTATACTTCAGCCTGTTGTCCGTGTTTTTTACAGCACTTAAGAACTGCCAGAAACAAAACACAGGTGAAGAATTATGATGAGATATCTCCCGCAAAATTAAACTGTATAATAAACAGAGCTAAACTGAAAGAATTCAGAAGCTGGAAAAACTCCAGCGGCTGGAAAAGTAGACGGGTGGATGGAGCAGAGTAAAGATGATCCATTAATCTGGTATGGTCACTTTATCTTTTCTTCATTGTCAATTCAGCAGAGCTGAGGTTAAACAGAGGAGTCTCGCCGTCATCAAAGGCCTCTCAGCCCTGCAATCACCTTTGATAACACTATCCTTACAATACTCGCACAAGATATTCTGGCTACGCTTTCAGGAATAAGCGATACCTTTAACTTTGATGAGTTCCGAGAGTTTTTCTATCCGGAGCCCGGTCATGAGTCAGCCTCGCCTGGCGCTTGCCTGGTCAACCGGCTGTTGCTGCTGGTGATTCAAACACCGTAGCCTTGGCCTACGCCGGCTACTTAAACAATATGGCCTCCAATCGATAGATCTTTTTCATATGCATTACAGTTGTTGAAATTCTACCCCCAGTAAACACTCCTTCAATAATTAATAATTTTTGTTATTGGTTAAGTTAGGTACGTAAACTAAACTTATTTATGTACAGTTAACCGCAAAGAACACCCACCTCCTCATTTCTAGCTATGCCACTTCTCTCAATCATCTCTTTACCCAATCTCTCAATCAACTCCTGTACCCAATCTCTCAATCACCACCTTGTACCCACTCTCTCAATTACCTGTACTCACTCTCTTATTTCACCCCCACTCCAGTTGCTCTATCTTTTCAGCTCATACCGAGAGGTGTAATTCCCACTTAATAAAAGGTTCAGCTGGAAAGAAACCGTTAAAGTTGCTATCGCTGCTGAACCCATAGTGGAATGTCCTGTCGTCCTATGAAGGTCCTCGGAATTGGCTGACACATGTGATTATTTAATGTGCAAAAACCCCATCGTGTGTATGATGGAATATGACTGGAAATAAAAGTCGTTTATTTCCACAATGTTAAACATTGTGGCACCATCGCCCAGGCCCAATGAGAGCTAGTCCTCACTCGTGCAGATGTTTACCGATTTATCTAGATTCCCCCCCCCCCCCAGTCACCACTTGCAGACGGGCATTAGCCGTATTTAATTTTTGTTGGCTTTAAAATATGTTTTTATTAGGTTATGTATCCTGTCCGAACCCTAACCTAACGTAACTAAACCTAAGCCAATGGTTTCCCTCTATTCCTCTATTCTTTAGCCAATCCCTTTGCACCCATCACTTCGTCCTCCATCCCCACACCCCCCACCACACCACTCACCTACCCACATCCACCCGCGCTGCCTGCCAAGACGGCGTGCACCAAAAGGCAGGTTGTAGGGTGCTGGAGGCGCCTGCGATGGTGAGTCTGCTGCTACGTTTGGTCGGCAGCAGAACGTTCTGGCTTTTGCTTTTGCTTTTGCTGGGGAGTAAGAGAGAACTATACTGCAGCTGATTGTGAGAGAACTACTGCAGCTGCTGCTGGGCGAGGCAAAGATATTACTGCAGTGCTGTTAAGTGAGATAGAATACTACTGCAGCCGCTAGTGAGCGAAACTACTACTGCAGCTGCTGATGGGCAGAGAGAATATACTGCAAGCTGCTGGAATGAGGGAGAATAATTTACTGCAGCTGCTGCTGAATGACAGGGAGAATTACTAACTGCAGTGCTGTGAATGGGGAGAATATACTGCAGCTGCTTGCTGGACATGAGGGAGAATACTACTGCAGCTGTGCTGTATGAGGGAAGATACTACTGAGCTGCTGCTGAATGATGTGAGAATACACTGCAGCTGCTGCTGAATTGAGGGGAGAATTACTACTGCAGGTGCTGCTGAATGAGAGAGAAATACTACTGCAGGTGCTGCTGAATGAGAGAGAAATACTATTTACTGCAGGTGTAATGCTGAATGAGGGAGAATACTACTACTGCAGGTGTTTGCTAAAATGAGAGAGAAATATTTACTGGCAGGGTGCTGCTGAATGAGGGAGAATACTACTGAAAGCTGCTGCTGAATGAGAAGAGAATACTACTAACTGCAGGTGTTTGCTGGTGGGTGAGAGAGGGAGAAAATCGTTGTCAATGCTAAAAGGAAAAGGCGAACATAAACTGTTTAATTACTGTGATTAAAAGAATCTTTACGTGTGGTAGTTGGTAATCATTTCATTACTAGTTACACTAATAGTCCATTGAGGTTAGTATTACAATTGTCTCTCTAATACGGTGATGTCTTCGTTCAGGAAAACCAGGAAAGTGTCTCCTTATTAGGTTGTGCCGTCAAAATTCTTGAACCATCCATGATGCAACAAACCACTGGTTGTAGGGCACTGTCAGTTGATGCAACAACACTGGTGTAGGCCACTTGTCAGTGATGCACAACCTCTTGGAGTAGCGTGTTAAGTGATGCAAACAACACTGGTGTCACACTGTGTCTGTTGATGCAACATCAACTGGTTAGTTAAAAGCCACGGTGTTCAGGTGAATGCAACAAACATGGTGTAGCCCACTGTTTTCAGTTGATGCAACAAACATGGTGTAGCACTGTGTCCAGTGAGTGCAAAACAACACTGGTGTAAGCACTGGTCTGTGATGCAAACCAAACACTGGTGTAGCCACTGTGTCAGTGATCCTGCCAACTCAACACTGGTTGTAGCCCACTGTCAAGTGATGATACACCATGGTTTAAAGCACTGTCAGTGGCATGCATACAACACTGGTGTAGAACTGTGTAGTGATGCAACAACACTTGGTGGTTGCACTGTGTCAAGTGTGCAAACAACCACTGGTGTTAGCCACTGTGGGTCAGTTGATGCAACAAAACACTGGGTGTTTGCACTGTGTCAGTGCGATGCAACAAAACACTGGTGTAGCCACTGTGTCAGTTTGATGCAAAACAACACTGGTGTAGTCCACTGTGTCAGTGAATGCAACTAAACACTGGTCTGTAAGCACACTGTTGTCAGTGAACTTGCAACAAAACACTGGTGTAGCACTGTGGTCAGTGATGACAACAAACACTGCGCTTGTAAGCACTGTTGTCAGTGATTGCAAAACAACATTGGGTGTTAGCACTGTGGCTAGTGATTGCAACAACACTGTGTAGCACTGTGTTCAGTGATGCAACAAAACCCACTGGTGTTGAAACTGTGTCGGTGATGCAACTACATGGTTTGTAGCACTGTCAGTTGATTTTGCAAAACCTCTGGTTGTTGCACTGTGTCCAGTGATGCAAAAACAAACAATGGTGTAGCACTGTGTCAGTGATGCAACAACAATGGTGTAAGCACTACGTGGCAGTGATTGCAAAACAAACACTGGTGTAGCACTGTGTCAGTGATGCAAAAAACACTGGTGTAGCTCTGTGTCAGTCGATGCAAACAACAAAAAAAAAAAAACCCCTGCGTGTAGCCCTCTGTGTCAGTTGATGCAACAACATGGTGTAAGGCACTGTGTCAGTATGCAAAAAACCAAACACTGGGATGTTTAGGCCACTGTGGTCAGTGATGCAACAACACTGGTGTAGCCACTGTGTCAGGTGATGCAAAACCAAACACTGGTGTAGCACTGTGTCAGTGATGCAAACAAAAACCCAATGGTCTTTAGCACTTGTTGGTTTCGTGATTGCAAACAACACACTGGTGTAGCACTTGTCAGTGATGCAAAACAACATGGTGTAAGGGCACTGTTGTCAGTGATGGCTACATAACACTGGTGTAGCCCACTGTGTCAGTGATGCAACAACCACTGGTGTTGTAGGCCACTTGTGTCAGTGATTGCAACAAACACTGGTGTAGCACTGGTGTCAGTGATTAGCAACTAAAAACACTGGATGTAGCACTGTGTCAGTGATGCACAACACTGGTGTAGCCACTGATGTCAGTTGATCTGCAACAAAACACTGGTGTAAGCACATGAGTCAGGTGATGCAAAAAACACTGGTGATAGCAATGTGTCGTGATTGTCAAACAAACATGGTGTAGCCACTGAGT